GGACCGAACTGCAAGGATAGAAAATTCAGACGGAATGAAATTTGTAGACTAATAATATACTTTGAACACCAGAAGTAACGAGGTCGATTGTGTTGAATACGAGGTTTTCGGCGCTTATGCCGACCTTGAACAGGATAAGTAAACAATCAAAACGGAACCAGTCCGAACATACCAAAACCAAAGTCGGACTGCTGGGGAAATTGACGTCGTTGCCTCGCAGGGCGGCCAATGCAAGGTTGAACGCTTGGACATGTTAGTGTTGAGCTAAAAACAAAGCTGATCGCACTTACTTTGATTGTTAGCGATGAAATCAATGGTCGTATCGACTGTGAATCCAGCGGCGGTCTTGTTCGTTAGCTCAATCAGATCGAATGCCTCTGTGGCGCCAAGCTCCAGCGCAAGTTTGCGCGCTGCAGGTTTGAAATCACAAACATAAACTTCAGAGTGATAGATACATGATGAGAAATTATAACATGGAAGAGAAGTCCACAGTACCTGTTGCACCGAAATACTTTGCGTATTGAACTGCAAGGTGACCAAGGCCGCCTATACCAAAAATCAAGACCTTGTCTCCTCGCTTAACCTGCAAGCACATCAGGCTCGATCTGTTTTAGCAAAGGAATGGTTGATTTAAATACATTTGCTGCATTCTGAACAGCGTGGTAAGCGGTGACGCCTGCGTCGCTGGCAATCGCTGCCACTTCAGGAGGAACACCATTCGGCTACATACATCTGTTTGAGGTGCGAATAAGTGGCGGGGTTCAAACTCACCACAGGAACAAGCTTGTCGGCAGTTGCAATGATATACTCAGCATATGTGCCGTCTGCCCCGATACCAATGGAGTTCAGCAGGGCGGGACCACCATTTATCCCATGAACACAGCTGTCAACTGTGAGGATCGAATATAATTTGCCCAGCTGCACAGTGTCTTTATCGACCTTGGCCCCCAGCCTATTAATTAACTTTCAGGACCACAACTTCGAAGCGAACTTATGGGTTTTACTGACTTGATGGGCGTTCCACAGGCTTCATGGCCCATAATATACGTCCGCGGATCCAGGCCAGCGCCGGTCAGTAGCGCGACATCAGTGTGGCATACACCGGCAGCGGCGATCTTGAGGAGAATCTCGTTGTCTTCCAATTTACGGATTGGATACTTCTTGTTGAGTACCAGCCGCTCATTTCCAGGTACGTATACCGCTGCGAGCATGGTGGTTGGAATAGTCATACTTGGTGTTGCTGGGTTGGATGGTTATGGAATTATGACAGAGGATGGAAAGCTCACCCATTTTATACTGAGCAGAAAGAATTACAATCAGCCTCGGGTAATGTTCGCCGGCGAAAATCGCACTCCTTTAACACGGAACACGCGTTGAACCACATGCGTTGAACCGGATGAGGCGGACGGGGACTACTTCCATCAAATGCAGACAAGCGGAGCATTAGCTGTGTAACGGGACGCATACCACCGGGAACCAACTGCGCCATCGACGATTGTCCCAATGCATCCAAGAACCGATGGCGGCTGACAAACCGACGTCGTTCGACTGGTGAGGGTCCAACTTATCCTACAATAAAACGGTTGAACATGGGCCAGATGAACGCTGGAAATAAACGTACCGGTCGCGGGGTTGTAGACGAGTATTGATCCGCTAAATTCAAATACTAGTAGCAGTGGTACTTGTATCCAGACAATTGAAAGCCTAGTCCGAAATTGAACAGGATCACAGCCGAATTGTAGAAGTGGGGGTTTGAGCTCTGGTTTCGAAACCGGCACAGATCGAATGAAACATGGCAGAATGCTTTTCAAGAAGCTACCGAGTCGACATCAAGGGTATAAAGCGAAGCAGAGCACAGGTTCAAGATGTCGAGCGGGGATGTTGCGGGTGAAGGAAGTGGCCGTTCATAGTTCAAAAATGCAGTGGAACGGGGACCGAAACTTCGGATCCCCGTCTTCAGTGGACTGCCAACTTGAAACTAGCTCAATTCTATGTGCGAGTTGAAGCAAGAACTTGAAAATCACAAAAGGTTCAGCCGGTCTGAGTGTCCAAATTAAAGGCTATGATCGGATCGTCAAGAGTGACTTCCAAGAAATTCAAGAGTGAAGTAGTCTGCAGCAAGGTTAGCATCCACTAGAAGCTGGACTATAGCATCGAATTCGCTCCATCGAGAAAGAGGAGCTCTTGTGCAACGCTTGCTGTAGCTAAAAAAGACTGGGTTCCGCAATCAATGAGATTTTTCCGTCGGCACAGAGTTCCTGCACGTAAGATGATTCAACGGCCTTGTATAGAATCCGGCGAAAAAGGGCGGCGAGCATGTTCAATGTCCCAGTGGCAGAAACTGTGGCAGGGGCCGCCAGGACCAGAAAGAGAGGCGAACAGCCACCGGAAGTAGCCGGAGTTCGGGCCGGTGCCTCCGCTGCAAGAGACAAGACAGAAACCAGAAGCAATGAATTGGACCTAGAAATACAGGAGGGAGTAATACAGTGATGTATGCTATCTACAGGAGACAATTAGGTGAGAGGCGCGTGAGGTAGGTTTGTAATGGGCGTGCAAAGAGCGTAGCGTCAAGGTCCGTTTTATGTATGGGTGCGTAGCGACGCAAAAAGTCCAGATGCGTGCGTGAAAAGAAATAGGTGGGCGGTGCATGCACGCGCCTAGTCGTAATGGCCTTAGAAGTCGGAGGTCGATGCAGCTTAGAACGCGCCGGCGTTACGCTGGTATCGGGCGGCAGGGAAGGGCGGGGGTGTCTCGGGCCGCGGTGAGTCAGGGATGTGGATCGTCTCGCGGTACGACATGGGCGACGCGAAGCTCGACGAGCTGCGGTCCGAGTCGGACGACGCGCTGCGCGAGGAGGCAGAGCCGCGGGACGACGTGCTGCGCGCGGGAGACGGCGAGGGGCGTCTAGCGCGGTGCGAGCGCGAGCCGTTGGAAGGGGTGCGGTGCGAGCGTGGTGAGGGTGCGCGGTGTTCGCGAGGTGACGGCGCGCGTGCGAAGATCGGTGTGGGATACGACTCGGGCTCGTCGGACTCGGCGCTGTACTCGCTTGGCGCGCTCGGCGCGGGCGACGGTGAGGCGTAGCGCGGCAGCTGTTCCTCAGAGCGCGCAACGTGCAGGGCGCCGGCCTTTTCGCCCTGGCGCCCAAAGCCGTAAGCCGCTTTGGCCATGTCGGAGTTCTTCCAGGAGGCGAAGGAGACTGCGTCTGCGTCGCCAGTCAAGACGAATGGCGGGCCCGCGGCCGCGGTGGGGGCAAATTGCGGTGAGGCGTTGACGAAGGGCGGCGCGATTATGCCTTTGGTCGCGTCGGGCTTGTTGTTGCGGAGGACACGCTTGGACTTGGCATCTTCGCGGAAGACGAGGCCGAGGAGCATGTTGAGACAGCCGATAGAGAAGAGGAAGAAGGCCGAGACGAGAGTAAATTCGTCGACGTGGTGCGAGAGGATCTGCGCGCCGATCCTGCGGGCAGATGGGCGTCAGTGTGAAGGGAGGAGTGAGATCATGTCTTTACGCACAAGCACTGGAAGATCCCCAGGGCGCCGAGCCCAAAGTTCGCGCCGAGAACAGGGAAGAAGCGGTCGAAGAAAACGGCAGGCCAACCGAGTTCGGAGACTGGTACAATGTTATTAGCGCAGGATGAAAAAGGAATGGAAGGAGCGCGTACACAGGAGGATGACGACCTGGAAGATGATCAGCAGGCTCGCGACCACGGCCCAGAAGACGCCCGCAGGCTGATTCGGAACGGTGCTCCCACTATTGTGGTAGAATTAGTAGTTGTGGCGGACGCCGACGTCGTTGCACGCACACAATGTAGTCACATTCCAGCATAACGTCGGTGGAGTTTGTGATGCGGTTTGCCTGGAAGCGGTTCACTGCTTTGATGTTGTTGACCATGACCAAAATGGAGCTCGAGAATACGAGGAGGAGAGCGACGATGCTCAGGAAGCGGGTCGCGTTGAGGCCGACAAATATAACTACAAAAAGGGATTCAGCATTAGTGTCTGAGTAGCAGAGGAAAAAATTATAGCGCACGAGTCTGGGGACGAGGCATCTTGGAAGAAAGAAAGAAAGAAAAGATTGGAGTGTTGCTCGTCTAGAACGTAAAAGTGGAAGGGAAAGTAATTATCGTGAAGAGACTCGTGAAAATTTGAAGCGTAGACGTGAATGAGAAAAGGTGTTCTAGCACCAGGAAAGTTTCCGAGAGAGTTGAAGGGTGACTAGACCGCTGCAGATACGACAGCTAGCACCCTGCTTTTATCCCGTAGTCGGCTAGCGACCGGACGCCAAACACCGAGTCCACACATGAACTTGCATTCTTCTCCGCTTAGCCCCTTTCAAGAAGACAATGAGAACAAGGATGGAGAACAATAACACGTTTTCTCGCTCTCCCGCCCTAGCAGCGGTATACAGTTTTCTTGAGCATTCCATCCATATACGAGCTGTATAGCCAGTCTAGTGCTCCCTAGCGAAAATATGAGGTTCCATAGGGCTTAGAATTGGGAGTTCACTGGGCAGGACAATGGGAGGGTGTTTGTTGGGAGGGTGTTTGTTCTCGATTGGGACTAGCTGACATAATGCCAATACCGAATCCCGATGCACAGCCTTCTGAACCGAGGCCTTGCCATTGACTCTCCTAAACCCGCTCGTTTATTCCGGCCGCTGGGCCTGACGGCCCTCACTTCACGCGCCTTGCAAAATGGCCTTGAACCCAATGGTCTCATTGATACCTCGGGAATCTAAAGTTCGACCTACGATCAACCTACGATACCTTTTTTCTGTTTTCCAAGAGCTGCGATGGTCTTCAAGTCTCTTCAAGTTGCTCCAGAGTCTCGGTATCCCGTATCAACTGCGTCCTAAAATTCCCTGGCTGTCGGCCTGAGCCATCGTCGTGTCAGTGGTTCGAAAATGAAGCCTCGCGTCGTACATATTACCATCACGTACCACCAAAGCCACAAAACACCCTTGAGTAGCCTATAATCAACTCATCTCCTTCCAACACCAGCCGCTTGATAGCACAGTGGTTATTGCGTCTGTAATTTCTGACCGCGCAGGATGATTTTTCTGCAGAAGATCCCCGTTCGATTCGGGGTCGGGTGATATGGGACAAGATGTTGAGTCTTTTTCTTTCTTCTGTTTAGATCGTTGGTTATTCAACCTTTGGATTTTTTGACCGATCGAAGTCCAACTCGCAAAGGCAATGCAAAGGGCCAACAAAAAAAACTTCACTAAGGGCGGGGATCTCAAGTTCTTGGCCGCCGTTCAACTAGTTTTACAAGCTATGAATGGCCACTTCAAGTTGGCGGCGACTTGTCGCCGACTCGGGTGACTTCTTGACGAAACATCCTTATAAGGCTTCAAAATGTGCCAGTTGAAGCAGAGCGGTTTACCACGAATATGCATTATACCCACTCTAACACTTCAGGTGATCTCCGTTGCAGCTCCATACTCGGCGTTCAATTTCACTTGATGCAAGGACCGCTATAGGAATTTATTCCAACGGATCAAGCTTGCCTATAACCCCATGGCCGCTGCTTTTATTCCTGTAATCCAATCTGGCCTCCGGTTCAAACGTTTTGAGCCCTCAGGCAGAACATAGTCGAACAAAGCTGGTATTCAAGCTGCCATTCGTTTTCGTCAACAAGTTGAGACTGACGTCCCTGAGCGTCCCTGGCACGGTTCCGGAGAATTAAATACAAGCTGGTCCGTTGCACAGCTCACCTTGCGTTCATTCGAGTGAAGTGGTCGCCGTCTCTCGCTATTTGCATTTCCGTGGGTCCCCCGATCCCGTTCAAAACAGATTCGCCTTGCAAGTGAAGCTGCCCGTTGTTCGCCGACAATATCCAAGGCTGATTGAAATTTTCCTGTTCAGTATAAAATGGGTGAGCTTTCTGCCCTTCTTTATAAAACATATCTATCTGCCACATCCTCAATCCAATAACACAAAGTATGACGATCCCAACCACCATGTTCGCAGCGGTATATGTACCCGGTAATGAGAGGCTTGTCCTCAACAAGAACTATCCGATCCGGGAACTAGAAGACAACGAAATTCTCCTCAAGGTCGCTGCTGCCGGTGTATGCCATTCTGATGTCGCCCAGCTGACCGGAGCTGGCCTGGATACACGGTCATATATCATGGGCCACGAAGCCTGCGCGACGCCTATCAAGTCAGTACATCCCGCTTCGCTTCAAACGGCTGTGCCGAAACATGCTCAACAGGTTGGGAGCCAAGGTCGACAGTCACGCTGTGAAGATAGGCAGACTATACTCGGTCCTCCTGATCGACAGTTGTGTTCATGGGATGAATGGTGGCTCCGCCGCGTTGAATAGCATGGGCATCGGGCAAGACGGCGCATATGCTGAGTACATCATCGTGACTGCTGACAAGCTTGTCCCTGTGGTGAGTATGAACCATGCTGCATGATGTCTTGCTCTCACCTTGAACGACTGCATGTAGCCGAATGGTGTTCCTCCTGAAGTCGCAGCAATTGCAAGCGACGCAGGCGTCACTGCTTACCATGCCGTTCAGAATGCGGCAAAGGTATCTTTCTTTTACTCAAAAAATATCGAACCTCATGTCGTTACAGGTCAAGCAAGGGGACAAGGTCTTGATTTTTGGAATGGGCGGCCTTGGCCACCTGGCAGTTCAATATGCGAAGCATTTCGGTGCAACAGGTAGATTAGAAGGCGCTCTCCATGCATCAAATTCTCATCATGCGAAGTTTATGTTTGCGACTTCAAACCTGCGGCGCGCAAACTCGCGATGGACCTTGGCGCCACAGAGGCTTTTGATCTAATCGAGCTCACGAACAAGACTGCCGCTGGATTCACCGTCGATACAACCATAGATTTCGTTGCTAGTAATCAAAGTAAGCAGAGTCGAGTTTTGATCTGTCAATTGCCAACATTTTTTGAAGCGTTCAACCTCGCATTGGCCGCCCTTCGAGGCAATGATGTTAATTTCCCTAGCACTCCGACCTTGGTCATGGTGCGTTCTGGCGCTCTTTTCGTTGTATGTTCACCGATCACGTTCAAAGGTCGGCATAAGCTTCGAAAACCTGGTATTCAACACAATCGACCTCGTTACCTCCGGTGTGCAAAGTATATGATTACATATCTTGAGTTAAATCCATTTCTGACCTTTCTATACTTCACAGTCCGCTCGAGCTCCTACGGTCCGCGCAGCGCCCTCGTTGCGGCGTTGGATCTTTTTGCCAAGGTATGAATTATATTGTAACGCTCCATTGCCCTGCTTACCGCCGAACAGGGTACGGTTCGCGCTCACGTTCACTCTGAGCCATTGGAGAATGTGAACAAAGTTATCGATGAACTTCGTGCCTATGAAATCCTAGGCCGCAAAGTGGTAGTCCCTCACCAGAGCGATTAGCATACTAGGATATTTAGGTATTCTTGTCGGAGTCCGGAGAATGTACTTCTGTGTTGTTTATTGTTCCACTTCTATTCCTGAGTGGATGAATCAAGTCTAGTCGCATAGGGCTTGAATTCCCAGGATTCTTTCAACCCGCGCACCCGAGCTTGCCAAATTGAACCAATGTCACGTGGCTATTCGAGCTTGAACAAGTGCTGCACAGTGCATGCAAATCAATGCATGCCATTGGACATGCAGCTCTCGGGAGATTAAGGTTAGTACATATGTCAATCCTGCTCTCACCAACAACTGGATAAGGATATGATTAGATGGGTATATTAGAGCGATTATGCTAAAGTCGGATCCGGATTCCGTCTACTCCAGTCTATTAGCCATGGGGGGAGCATCAGCTCCTTCGTTTCCAGGCCTTTTACCTTCCCGTGCTTCTCCCAGTCTATATCGAAATAATCTAGCAACCGTTGTCGGACGGAGTCTATCCTCATCTCCTCCGGTTCACTAGCCGCCGTGGTTAGATGCAATCCACAATGGAAGAAATAAAGCAGAAAGGTGCGCACAATGGCTCGATTGGGGTGGTTGCCGCCCGCTGTATAGTTTCTATGATGTCCTCGACGGGCCCGGTGACGTCTACAGTATATATATAGGGTTCGCCGATACGTGCTGCGGGCCCATGCTGGTGAACGTCTTCATAGAAGCCGCAATATTCACTAGGGTCTGGACGAGCAGGACATCCGGTGTTGGATCGATATGGGATGACAACAGGAACGCCGCGACAAAGCGATGCGTACGGCGTGGGTGAGATTTGTGGACTACCGATGCCCAACAATGCTTTGGTGTTCGCCTGCAAAGAGAAGATGGTGAATGGTTCAAAGACAATGATAATAAAACTACGAACAAGCTCGAGGTCATATTCAGCCGAGGGGAGTAACCCGACATTGGTCAGACCGTCAGGGAGGGGAAATCCATCATCCACTTTGGCGTTAGTAATTATGTCGTAGCCGGTGACATTTTTTAAACGAGTGTACAAGCTTTGCTTGAGAAAGAGGAGTTTGCTGTGAAAGTATTCAGATTCTGTAAGAATACATGTCAAATGAAAACGAGAGCAAGAAGCAGATGTCACACTTTTTGCAAGGATAACGATCTGGTCTGGGCGTTTTTCTAAAGGAACGTAATCGAGCGCCTGGCAACTCTGATAATGATAACCGCTGTATAATTTCCCGTTATATCAAAGCTTGACAGTGAGAGAAGTTGTGGGCGCCTAACAGGAAGAAGTGGCCCTCGGGCATCTGTCAGAGTTGCATTCAGGTCTGCATGCATTCCATTGTACCGTCGATAACATACCTGGTACGGAACGAGGTTCCACTCCCGTCCCAAAGGATTAAACGACCACGACGTGTTGGACGTAGCAGGAGGAAGCCACTTCCCCGACTTGGGTAGGCTACCCCAGAATGTGAACGCAAACATTTTCCAGAGTGGTCTAGATGAGGGTTGAACAAAGGATGGTCCAAAAAAGCATCGGGACGCACACTCCATCGGGATTCTGTGGACTCTGTATACAATGCTCAGGATCTTGGAAGCACCATATGACATGCTCGTCGTCTATCCAGGCGTGGGTGATTAAATCGTTTCCGATAAGCTTGAAGTCTTTGTGGAACGTCTTGTCTGGGAACGCCGCATAAATGATGAAGATATCTTGCTCTTGCATCAGTTGCAACTGTGAACATGCGTAAAAAGAGTTGCGGATGACAATGAGTGGCTCACGAGAGGGCGCATCCATTGCACTTCACCGTTGGAGCTAGTCTCATAACATGTCGAGTGAAAATGCCATGAGGATAAAACCACACTAGGAGGCGGTAGCGGTTCTCCTGCTTCCACCCGAGCAAGATACTGGAGAAGACGCTCGACGTTGTCGAGATTATGCACCTGCATAAATTTGTAGTGTGGAGAAAACGCGATATCCCGGATCGTGTTAAGTCTATCGATGAATTCTCGAGCCTTCTGCGGGGCTAGGTTATCGGAAGGTCGTCGTGGATAGGTTACATTGTTGTTCGTTAGGAGCTGCGGAGGTCGGGGTTTTGGCGGTGCGAATGTGGTGGTAAGGCGCGCGATGATGGGGAGGTTAAGCGAACGGAGGCTCTCCCATGTCAGTGGGATGCTGAGAAGCGCTGCAGAGAGGAGGAGGAGGAGGATGGCCCTCCTGCGGGGCCAGGGCAGGGCCATGGTCAGAGTGGTGAGAGTGCAGAGAAAACAAAGGCCAACAACTCTATAAGCGGTGTCGTGGAGCTGCTTGATCAACGTTGGATCAACCCATCAGGCCTCAGGCGACGATCCCGACGGAGGTTTGTATTTGTCCCACCGTTCGTTCGATTTGCTCAAGTATTTCCTTGGTTTGGGTTCGATAATACAATGCATACGTTTGAAGGAAACGTACACTGAATATTCCCGATGTCCCCAGTCTTTCGGTTTCTTTTTTTTTTTTGGCACCAGTCTTCAAGATCGGAGTTCTTCTCCGTGTGGGAAAGCTGGAGGCGCCGCGACCTTCCACAACTTGTTCTTGCACGACACCGCTGCAGAATCGGGAGGGCGGCAAATATGGTGGACGCCCGAGAGACCTGTCAGTGCGCTAGGGCTGATAGGAGGCTCGGATATCGCAAAGCCCCATGCAGGCCGATTTTGCCGTTGGAACTCTTATAGAGAGGTCAAGTTTCTT